ATTTGCTATATAATTACTATTATTTATGGACATTTGCATGTCTATAAATTACATTTCATGGATATAAAATAGATATCCACCATGGACTGGACATTCAGTGGATATTGGGATGTTCAGTAGATATCCAAAGGATTTGGTGTGCTGTCTGGGATGTATTGTAGGAACTTGTGTGTAGTTTTTGGCAGATTGTGAGATATTTATCATAATAGGATCATGAACAGTCATATCATAGCTGATTACATAAGAGTTCACCGATAGATTTTCAGTCTTAATATTGTTTTTTAAGAATATATGATTCAAGCATGTTTTACTTTGTGGCCTCATAATAGTGTGTATGTAAGACATGAAACCATTGGAGTAAAAAGTTGCTTGGTAATCAGTAGTTACTTGATTGGTTACATTTAAGAGATCAATATTAATGTCTCCTATGAATATTTCAATATTTCTATTTAGGTGATTTGGTATGAAATTTTCTAAATTCCTTATAAATGCTTGTGCAGAGGTTTGAGGAGAACATGTAATGTCAATGGTCCGATAATTGACTTTTAGATTTATTTTAGTGACACAAATATGAGAATATTCCAGTTTAACTATATTTAATTCTACATTTAGATTTGACCTGACCAAAATTACAACAACATAATTTCTGTTAATGTTACCATTGTTATAGTGGTAGGTTAAATTGAGAAATAGATTCTAATTGGAAACATTCAGCCAAAATTATTATATCACAATAATTAATTTTATAACTTTCTAGAAATACTAACAACTCATCAAAATTATTTTTAATACTCCTAATATTGAAATGTAAGACATTTAGGAGTTTTTGATTTAAATTAATTTTATTTGTTATATGTATGTGGAAAATGTATATATTTAAACATTTACAGAGGTGCTACAATAGGTTGTACAAAATTACCAGAAAAAGCCTGTATTAACTAGACATGAAAATCATGTGTTGCACACATCAGATTTTTTATGATCTGAATGAGATTTTGCTATTTTTCTTAATTCAACTGATGCAGTATTTTTCATGATATCCAATCCGTTAAAAAACAAAAAATTAGCTTTTTTTTGAGATAGGGCTTAGGAGGGCAGTATAAAAAAAATGAGATTTTCACTGTCCCCATATCTGATATTTTAGGACTGTTAACCAAGCAATCTCTAGTAAAAAAAGGTTGAAAATTTTTAGGAAGTGTTAATGTTCATGAAAAATAAATTTCATATTTTACCAAAATTTTTAATTTTTTGTACTCTATTCTAAATCATTCGTAAGTACATACATGTGAATTAAAATATAATAATGCACTTAAATTAATACTTAAAAACACAACTCAAAAATTAGTGGCTATAAGTAAAGAACTAGTGGCAGACTGATGATCAAAAGTAAGGAATTTTTTCCACTTTTATAAAAAAGAATTACATGCTCATAACGAAACAAATACATATACTGTTAAAAACTACATACTTCAACCTATCAAATGGTAGTTTTATTTTTTCTGTTACAATATTATGAAAAATAGACCCTACAAATGCATCTTTGCCTTAAGTAGTGTACCATGACCCTATATACCAAGTTTGGTCTCAATATCTTGACTCGAAATGCCCTAGCCCTAAGTAATATATTCAGTAAAATTAGTTAGAATTTTTTATATTTAATTTGAATTAATTTCAGCAATGTGAAATGATGGGTCCGTATAAGATTAAGAGTGTCGGAATTAAAAGAAAAAAATTATTGCAATAAAAAGTACTCATTTTATAAGGTAAATACCTAAAAAAAAATTTGCGGAAAATCCACAAAATTTTGAGAAAAATGAATTAAAAGTTGTAATTTTATAGGTTATTTTGGTTTTATCATACTATTATGTAGGTGACAATTTCGAAGTTTTAATGATATTATAATTGAAGTAACTTGCTTTTGTTACATTTTAACTGAAATTAGATATCTAAGGAAAATTATTTTGCATTTTCTAATTCAGTTTATATTAAAATTAAATGGATTGTATTGTCTGTTTAACCATTTACTTCCACAAAACATAAAATGAAAAAAATAAATCATCAATTTACCTTTGTTGGCACATGACACATGGGGTAGTTGAGTTTGCACCGTTGCCATATTAACAAAGTTTCTCCAGGTTTTATGTGTCTAGACTTTATAGATAGATGAGAGTTCAGAGCTAATTTGAAGCACTAAAAAGTACTTGTTTTATACAGTAAGTTAAAAATTTATGAAAAATCACGAATTTTTAAGAAAAATTTTATCAAAAATTGCAGTTTTTTTTAGCTTATTTGCCTTATTATTGACATCGAACATGTATGTATTATTCACAAAACAATTATGGTATTGATATGAAAAGAGATATACGTATCTGTGATTTTTTACTTTTAAATTTTTGTGGTGTGGCATTTAAATCTTTTAAGTAGTAATTACCGACTTTATGTAAAATGGAATTTAATTACATAATAGATGTTATGAGAGTTTATAATAAAACTGATGAATAGTTGTTGGAATGAATGAGTAGGAATAATTTAGTGAAATCACAATTTAGATGCAAACAACGTCTTTGCCTAACCTAACGTCGGCCGAGCGTGCCTTTTCCATCTACATCATAAGATCATTCTACGCTCGTCCCATCCACCTCCTAACCACTACAGAAGAGAGCGAACGAAGGGAGCGCGCCTGGCCTACGTTTCGAAATTTGCGCTAATTTCGAAACGTAGGTCGGGCGCGCCCTTTTTTCCCTTTTTTTCACCTACACCATAGGAGCACGCTTACGCAGAAGAGAGCGAAGCGAGCGCGCCCGCCCTACTTTTCGAAACTCGCGCGAATTTCCCTCTTAGAGCACCCTTACGCAAAAGGGAGCGAGCGAAGCGAGCGCGCCCGACCTACGTTTCGAAATTCGGGCGAATTTCGAAACGTAGGCCGGGCGCGCCATTTTTCCCCCTTAGAGCACGCTTACGCAAAAGATAGCGAGCGAAGCGAGCGAAGCGAGCGCGCCCGGCCTACGTTTCGAAATTCGCGCGAATTTCGAAACGTAGGCCAAGCGCGCTATCTTTCCCCCTTAGAGCACGCTTACGCAAAAGAGGACGAGCGAAGCGAGCGCGCCCGGCCTACGTTTCGAAATTCGCGCGAATTTCGAAACGTAGGCCGGGCGTCCCATTTTCCCTCTTAGAGCACCCTTACGCAAAAGGGAGCGTGAATTTCGAAACGTAGGCCGGGCGCGCCATTTCCCTCCCTTAGAGCACGCTTACGCAAAAGAGAGCGAGCGCGCCCGGCCTACGTTTCGAAATTCGGGCAAATTTCGAAACGTAGGCCGGGCGTCCCATTTTCCCTCTTAGAGCACCCTTACGCAAAAGGGAGCGAGCGAAGCGAGCGCGCCTGGCCTACGTTTCGAAATTCGCGCGAATTTCGAAACGTAGGCCGGGCGCGCTATCTTTCCTCCTTAGAGCACGCTTACGCAAAAGAGAGCGAGCGAAGCGAGCGCGCCCGGCCTACGTTTCGAAATTCGCGCGAATTTCGAAACGTAGGCCGGGCGTCCCATTTTCCCTCTTAGAGCACCCTTACGCAAAAGGGAGCGTGAATTTCGAAACGTAGACCGGGCGCGCCATTTCCCTCCCTTAGAGCTCGCTTGCGCAAAAGAGCGAGCGCGCCCGGCCTACGTTTCGAAATTCGCGCGAATTTCGAAACGTAGGCCGGGCGCACTCGCTTCGCTCGCTATCTTTTGTGTAAGCGTGGTCTAAGGGGGGAAAATGGCTCGCTTCGCTCGCTCCCTTTTGCGTAAGGGTGCTCTAAGAGGGAAAATTAGCGCGAGTTTCGAAAAGTAGGGCGGGCGCGTTCGCTTCTGCGTAAGCGTGCTCTTATGGTGTAGGTGAAAAAAAGGGGGAAAAAGGGCGCGCCCGACCTACGTTTCGAAATTAGCGGAAATTTCGAAACGTAGGCCAGGCGCGCTCCCTTCGCTCGCTCTCTTCTGTAGTGGTTAGGAGGTGGGTGGGACGAGCGTAGCATGATCTTATGATGTAGATGGAAAAGGCACGCTCGGCCGACGTTAGGTTAGACAAAGACGTTGTTTGCATCTAAATTGTGATTTCACTAAATTATTCCTACTCATCCATTCCAACAACTATTCATCAGTTTTATTATAAACTCTCATAACATCTATTATGTAATTAAATTCCATTTTACATAAAGTCGGTAATTACTACTTAAAAGATTTAAATGCCACACCACAAAAATTTAAAAGTAAAAAATCACAGATACGTATATCTCTTTTCATATCAATACCATAATTGTTTTGTGAATAATACATACATGTTCGATGTCAATAATAAGGCAAATAAGCTAAAAAAAACTGCAATTTTTGATAAAATTTTCCTTAAAAATTCGTGATTTTTCATAAATTTTTAACTTACTGTATAAAACAAGTACTTTTTGGTGCTTCAAATTAGCTCTGAACTCTCATCTATCTATGAAGTGTAGACACATAAAACCTGGAGAAACTTTGTTAATATGGCAATGGTGCAAACTCAACTACCCCATGTGTCATGTGCCAACAAAGGTAATTTGATGATTTATTTTTTTCATTTTATGTTTTGTGGAAGTAAATGGTTAAACAGACAATACAATCCATTTAATTTTAATATAAATTAAATTAGCAAATGCAAAATAATTTTCCATAGATATCTAATTTCAGTTCAAATGTAACAAAAGTAAGTTACTTCAATTATAATATCTTTAAAACTTCGAAATTGTCACCTACATAATAGTATGATAAAACCAAAATAACCTATAAAATTACAACTTTTAATTCATTTTTCTCAAAATTTTGTGGATTTTCCGCAATTTTTTTTTAGGTATTTACTATATAAAATGAGTACTTTTTATTGCAATAATTTTTTTCTTTTAATTCCGACACTCTTAATCTTATACGGACCCGAAATGATTTTTAATATGTAAACCAATATCTACATAAAATAAGGAGTAAAATACTGAAAATACTTACCGGTTTGAAAGGCACACTCCACAAAATTGACCTTTAACACCTCCACACCCTTGTGATCTACAAAATGTTTTGGTATCGGTAGTCTTTTGGCGACATTGGTGACAGCTAGTACCATTGACTATAGAATACTCTTTTTCAACAACCCTTCTGGCAATTTTCTTTAGCATTGAATCCGTCACATCTTCAACAGGTAAAAAATTGATTATTCCGCTATTCCGTTGAGAAGATGTTCTTTTAATTTTAGGTTTATAAACTATCTCTTCTAAATTTGCTAAATCATCATCAGAATCGTAATTCTTTCTTTTTCTTAGTGATGCAAAAGTAGAATCGTCAGGCAGGTCTTGATAAGTAAACTGAGGTTCTTTGGATCGAAGTCTCAAAGATTTTCTCGATTCACAAGGAATTTGACAAGACGTATAGAAATTTTTATCAGTTTTTCTTCTTTTTATTGATTTACGTAATGGTGGATCTTTTTTCTTAAAAATGCCAACTTTTTCAACAGCCTCAGCAAATTCAGGATCATTCATAAATGAGGCTAGATAAGCATCTCTTGCTTTAATGTTTTCCTCTCTTCGTTTCAATCCTTCGTTTTCTATAGGAGGGGAATCCGAGAGGGAATCTTCATTAAATTCACTTTCAAATGACGAATTCTCACCCGACGAGGTGTTGTCAGAATCTTCACTAAAATCTTGTTTTCTTTTTGTACCCCTTGGTTCATCTTTAAGAGATTTTGGAGAGGTGAATGGCGAATCATCTTCTTCATTTTTAAGGGATGTGTTTTTTGATAAATTCTCCTTGTTAGGCGTTCGTGATTTTCTGTTTTTAAATAAAAATGACGTTTTAATTTTTATTGGCATTGTATCCTAGAACAAATATTTATTTTGCGGTTGATTTTTAGAAGTATGTATTTTATAATGTAAAGCAGTCATATAATTTTTAATTGTAATCACCTAATGTTTGTATCCAGTAATTATAATTCTCACATCTGAACAGCAACACATCCACATTAAAAAACTAAATACATGAATATTATAAGTTGTGTTTGGTAAACAAACAGTTCTTGTTCATATAAATTTAACAACAAACAAGTGTGAATTTTGGCGGCAACTCCAACAACCTGTCAAAATGCTGTGACAGCGAACTGACAGTTTAGATATGGCAAACCTGTGACAGCAAGGTTCAATGGTCAATGTACATATATATTACTCAAAGTGGGTCTTTGAGAGCGGCCATATTGCCTCGCAAATGTTTATAAATCAGAATCAGTTTAACAAAAATCTCTTTTAAAACTAATTTTCACCCTTTAAATATAATAAAAAAAATAATTACAAGGCATTTAAGCTTATGATTATTTTGAAAACATGGATGATCAATCTATGTAACTATCTATTTCATTGACCCTGTCAAATCACCAGACCCACAAGGTTGCCATATTATAACCACACAGTGCTGCCAACCGGATGAAATTAAGAGCCGTACACATGATCGAAAATTGCCGTGTTTTGTTTTTAGGAACTTATCGAACTATGGCCGTGTCAAATGAGAAATGCATTCATTCTCTTTGTTTATAACATAACATTTATTTATGATTTAAAAACATGGCAATGTTATAAAGCCGTAAAACACGGCAATTATCGTGTCAGTACTTGGCAGCAATAATACTCGATTATTCCTTGTTCAGACAAACGTCGATTTGTGACGTCATTACAGAACCTCACACTGGCACTATTTTAGAAATGGGTGAAAAAAAAAATGGTCGGTGCGCATGACAATTTGGACGCCAGACTGTCAATTTCAAGCGTTTTACGTCACGTTTTCCACTGACGTACTATGATGTTATATTATTTTTTTATTAATAACGTGGTATTTTAATTATTACTATTATTTGAACATTTGTTTTAGCTGCGTATTAATCAAATATCTTTTTTAAGTCATTTTCTTAAATTAAAAGGTGTTGTAGTTCAATATAATAAGTGTTAAATTTAATTTCGATAATCCCTTTTAGTGCATTTCGATACGCACGTGTGGGCTTTGTTATATATACTGCGCAGAATCCTAGTGCCAATGATTGGTTTCGATTCGTTGTTGGAACTATGAAGACTAGAGATAAGGAGGCTAATGGCAATGGTCAAATTTCAAATCCGTCCTTCTTTTTATAAAGTTCGCGAAATTGACTGTAGTTGGCATGTCTAATGACAGCGTAGTCAATTTTCTATGTAAGTCAATGTAAAATGAACTGATTTTTTAAAAAATTGGTGAAAAACATCAAAATAATGTGAAAAAAAGTACCTGAGTACAAGTAACATGAGTGACAAAAACCATCAAAGCTAGATTTACGTCGTTTCAGATTATAAAACAGGATAAAAATAAAATGTAAAACTAAAGAAAACACAAGAAGAAATCAATTCAATGTCTTTTTAAGAGGGCTGGCATCATTCTAAACCTACCAAAACGTTGTTGGAACTATGCAGATCAGCAGAATAAGCGTTTCGAATTCCAACAATACAAAGAGCTAGTTGTCCATAAGCAACCGCAGACTAAAAAGAATGAATCAGTCAATACAAACAAACCAAGACCCGACGTCAACCTCTGCGTCACCGAAATAGATGACGTCACAGCATTCCCATTTCTTGAGTTTTTCGCCTCACCACTAAGAGAAGAAATTGATGAGGTCCCTTAGGACCGATTCCACCGATCCTTAGATAAACCTAACATAAATTTGCAGATACTGTAAATAACCAAAATATATCAAACTATTATGCACCGGAGGCGATTGAAAAGATATTCCCTTATAGTCTCCCTCTTAGGACCGATTCCACCGTTGTGTTAAACGAAGTTTAAAATTACATTTTTACATTAACAATGTCATTTTAATCTCCGTTTAACACAACGGTGGAATCGGCCCTTACGTATTCCCCTACTAAACTTAAACGTGCCAAGCGCAATAGCTTTGAACTATTTAGTTTGGACATAGCCCTGCAACTGGACAAAGCACCGACACTGCAGCCACCTGAAAGAAGACAGATAGCATCCTGGAAGAATTTCAGAACCTATTTGACATGGACCTCCTACTCCATGGACTGAGCATAGAATAGACACCGACAGTAACGGACCCATTTCTAGCGCTCCCTATCGTTTCAACTCAACCAAGAAGCATACGAAATGCTGAAAAAATGTTTGATAACCGCTCCAATCCTTAAGCAAGCTGATGAAAATGAACCTTTCACCATCAAAATCAACGCTAGTAGCTACGCTATCGGAGCAGTTTTGGTCCAGGGGGAGGGAGCGGACGAACATCCTATAGAGTATGCCAGTCGCCTATTAACGAACAGCGAAATAAACTACACGACCACCGAAAGGGAAGCCCTAGCTATTGTTTGGGGAGTTTCAAAATTTCGAGGCTATATCGAGAATTCCGAGACAATTATCATCACTGACCACCAACCTCTGAAATGGTTGCTCGGACTGAACACGCCTACAGGACGTATTGCCCGTTGGGCCCTCCAACTTCAACCCTATAATTTAAAAGTATATTACTCTCCTGGGAGGACTAATATAGTGGCCGACTTCTTATCTCGTCCTCCATGTAATAACCACATAAACCCCTCACAGCTATGTGTCTGTAGCGTGGAAATTGTTTACCACGCAACAGTGAGGGGCAAATGCAAATAAAACAACTTTGCGATATCAAGTTAAAACGCATCATTGAATTCTTTGAATCCAGTATAGCTGAAGATAACCAAAAATGGTTTCAAAGGGGTTATTTTATGTATAAGGGGGTACTTTATAGATACGTAGAACAGGATGATGAAAATGCACGAATAGTTTGATGAGGAAAAGAAAAATATTATTTATGCCTACCATGACGCACCAACAGCTGGACATTACGGCGTTGATAAGACGGTCAATCGAATCTCCAAGAAGTATTACTGGATGGGAATGTGACGTGATATTGTACAACACATATCTAAATCTGTCCCATGCCAGCGTTACAAAATTTCTAATTTGAAACCCGCTGGTTTACTCCAGACTACTGCAATCAATCAGCGTTTTGAAGTGCTTGCAATAGATCTCTTTGGTCCCCTGCCAACCACCGAAGATGGAAGGAGATGGATATTTATTATTGAAGATCTTGCTAGCCGCTGGGTAGAATTATTCGCGCTGACAGAAGCCACAGCGGAAAAATGCGCCCATGTCCTGTTGGAAGAAGTTCTGAGATATGGGATACCGCGCAGAATCATTAGTGATAATGGTACGCAATTTGTGTCAGCGGTTGTGCAGAAACTCACTTTCTGTCTTGGCATCAAACAGGTTTTGTACCAGTCTACTACCCTCAAACAAACCCTGTAGAACGTATGAACCGCGACTTGAAAACACAACTTGGGATCCTTGTTGGAAATATGCACCATAAATGGTCCAAGCATCTAGCCACAATAAGATTTGCCATGAGTAGCTCCCGTTGTGATAGTATCGAATATACAGCTGCTTATTTAACATTTGGACGCGAGTTAAGAAACCCACAAGATACGACTGATGACTTTAGTATTATAGTCTAGGCAGAAAATTTTGTGCCTGAAACAACTCCTAAACTACTGCAACTCGCTGAAGTACTTAAACTAGCCAAAGAAGCCGTTGAACTAAGACAGGAACAAAACCAGGTCCGTGTCAATCAAAAACGTCGAAGCGACCCAGGTGATAGAGTTTGGTTAACTACACATACTCTTAGTAATGCCGCTAAAGGTTATTCTCCCAAGTTTGCACCCCGACGTGACGGACCGTATATTATCATTCGAAACCATGGTCCTACCAGTTATGAGGTTGCCGCACTCACGAGTCCTACTGTACCTTTAGGAGTGTATTATTCCTCGGCAATCTCCTTGTACAAAAGTAATTCGAGTGAGAACGATCCTTCGGACCCTGTGAGAGCCATCAGGAAATGGGGACGGCCCAAGAAGGAAGCCTTACCAGAACTTTCCAACGGCACTAGACCTATGACTTCGACCTTACGGAAGAATATGGAACGAAGAAGAGGACCTAGGAAAGAATCCGTTGGAGCCTCTAATCGTCCTGCTAATATTACTGACTTCTCAAAGCCAGAGGGGGAGGTTGTAGCAGACCGATTCCCCTGTAGTTTATGCAACCAGTCTTACGCCCAGCCGCTTCTCAGTGCCTGAAAGTAAGACGAGATGACACCTCGGAATTATTTCGTAGTTCTACTGAGTCGTCGCGAGGACATAAGGACTGCAACTTTGACGGATATGGGTATTAAGAATTCATATTCATTCTCGGATTTATATTGAATGCTATTTTTTACGATTAATGTTTATTTTGTGATTTATTTTGTAAGTCTATTTTTTTCTAAATAAAATATATTCAGTACAACTTCTAATATCAGTCTCAATTTTTGTTTTATACAGGATTTCTCTAAAACGGACCGTAATGGAAAAATTTGAGGAAGTGTAAAATTAAAATTTTTCAGTATTTTCGTTTATGAATATATAAAAAAATGTTTCGAGTAAGATGTATCTGGAACATGTATATAGGGTGTTATTGAAATACACGTACATATTAAAACTGGGTATTGCGCAGATCCCCACTGAATGTAGAAAAATATTATTTTTTAAAAATACCCCTTATTAAGGGAGTTATTAATTTTTGAAAATTAATTCTAAAACAAACGTACTTCACTGATATGTTGAGGATGACCTATATAAATTAGGTTTATTTACCTATTTTAAACATCAACAGTAATTAATATGCAAGTTTTTGTCAGATGATAAGAAAACTAGTCTTGTAAGAAATAACCATGTTGCCAAGATTTTCGAATTAATTTCTATTTCCGAAGACTGGTTTTTACTACCCTAGTTATCAAAAAACTAGAATATTTGATAAATGATTGTTTTTAAACTATACATTTTTGAAACTATAGATTATTAAAATTTTAGTTGATTTACGAATCTGGCTAACACGAGCGCGTCATTTCCAAGTTGGTAAAAAGTGTTGTTACGATTACTTTTAAATATTTTTTTACGATGCCACTATTTACGAATATTGAACTAACGGATATAGTGCTGGTTTATGGGGCAGCTGGAGAAAATTCTCGGCAAGCACAAAT